CAAATCTCTCTCTTCGTGCACGTCCAGCTTCTGAGCCAAACGAGTGGAAGCGGTAGGCCAACATCAAGAAGAACCAGCATGTGCATCGTGCATAATCTGCACAGCCCGGGAGCCAAAGTAATTAATGATTTGCTCAGGAAAAACTTCAGGGATTCTTAAATTCGACCTTTCCACCAACTCCGTGCTACAAGGAAAAGCTCCCATTTACTTTCAGAATGGGATCTCCTGCACTCGTGAGAGTAAAGGATTTCACTTTCAGAGTCCCTAGGGCTCCAGTCGTACCTCCTCAGAAGGTACTTGGACCCTCCTGGCACCCACCCCAGTCCCACCTTCTCAGAAGGTACGACTGGAGGTGTAGGGGAGTCTCAGCATTTAAAGTTCTCAGAAGGATCTACCAAATGCCGAGGGTGTCTCCGTGCAGTCCGACTGGTGGTCGGCCGTCCACTGGCCGGAACTCTCCCCTCGCCTTTCAGCTTTGGTGCCCTGTAAAATCGTCTTCTGCGCCGTGGTGAGCAACCTCAGCGGTGAGGTCGCTGAGGTCGCTCTCATGTCTGAAGCACAGGAGTTGTCTTGGTTACGCTCACTAAAAAGGCGAAGGGCTCCCATGTAGAGGAGTTGATAGGGTTGCTTCTGAAGAGGAGATTGAGTTTTCACCTCCTAGTTCATTTAAAAAAACACAATAAACTCAATAGGCATAACATGAACGGCTGCTTGGTTGGAAGATACGAAATGCAGCGCAACAACTGAAACACAAAAATCTCACGCGTTTCGCCGAAGCATGCTGTTCCTGCGAACGTTCTTGGCCAACATCGGCCAACATGTTGGTTCACCTCATGGTCAACACCCACCTCAAGAAGACATTCCTAAGCATCCAGCCTTCCTCGATCCCGACGTCCCAGAAACTCACAAACAATCGTCCGACGGCCGCCGAGTCCTGGACTCCATGTCACTGGACCCTGGTCACGGCCTCCTCTCGCGTTGGGTTGGTCACCTGGTCACCTCCGGCCTCCTATCCTTTTTGACCTGGTAGCTGAGCTCAGCTCAGCTCCGCCCTCTTTGGATCCCAGCGACCCGATGAAAGGCCAGGAGGAGGGTAACGAGTGGATCCAATCCTTGGCCGCTCGCTCCACCCAAGCCACTCCATGGGACTGGGGGTCAATGGAGTGTCTGATAGGTCCTGCACTAAGAAACCCAAAACAACAAAAACACACAAAACACATACCAGGACCCCAAAGGGGTGATAAATGGACACCCCTAACAATCTAAGGGGCTATCAATAGAAGCCCCTTCGGGCGTCCTGGTACACACTAAATATCAGTCTTTAGAACTACACCAGAAACGGACAGCCAAGAATCCACCTCGGGCTGCGAGCCATTGCCACGAGCTCCTGCGTTTGTCACTCTCTCCAGCGGTCGCCAAGCGACGCAAAACACTGGGGGGGGAGTTGGGTCTGCTGGCCATGGCCAGCTTCAGCTGCTGAAGCTTTGAGCGCCCAAAATGGAATATGTGACTGGGGTATTGCTGGGGACATCTTCCGGATGTTGGAGATGTTGGAAGCAAATGGGTCGCTGAGTCTGCCGAAGAGTTCGGCAGTCTCCGACGGTTCCCACAGACCTATCCCCAGACCTATGCGGCAAAGTTGCTCAACAGCCTCGTAACATCAGAACAGCTGCTCTCAAGTGATTAGAGATGATGTTCGGCCTACTCCAGATGCCTGGGCTATGAGCTGTTGGTGCTGTGGGTTGATACCCGGGCTCCTCAACTGCGGTCCGTCTTCTCCCCGATAACGCGAGCGCGAGGTCCGTAGACAACGGATGTGGTGATATGTGGTGATGATTGTTGGACTCTTTCTTGGGTGAGGAGCAAGCTATATGTATATGTAGGGACTAGCTGACTGGCTATATATATGTATGTATGAGGTATATGAGTATGTAAGACAGTATCTGTAGGGATCCGATGGATGTTGTGAAGAACACCCCAGTGACTCGGATGGCAACCAAACCCTCCTGTCTATCTCTGATCCCCTCAGTTGCCCAGGAAATGGACAGGTTATATTATGACCTTTTCCACCTTTTCATTTTTAGTGGGGAATCCAGTCCCCCAAAAAGGTCACCGTTTCTTTAAAACTACAGACTGGGTAGGATCTATCTGAAAGCCTCACCTGACTGGGAGGCGCTGAAGAGCTGCTTTTCCATTGTTGCTCACTCCTTCCACCCCGCGCCTCGGGCACCAAAGACAACTCAACCATTCACTTCGACTGCCAAACAGGGTCTTGAAGGACTGGGTGGAGTCTTGAAGGACTGGGTGGAAGGAAGTCCTTGATGTGGGCATGCGCCCGACGCGCAAAAGCCAACGGTTCAGCAGGGACCGTTCTCTGCGCCTGAGGTGCGCAGCAACAGGGCGGCAGTGGCCAGGTCGAGGCCAAGATACCTGGACCGGCGTGGTTTCGGTGGAGCATCGCGGTTTTGGGGGGGCGGAAATGTAAACGAAGGCAGGTGGCTCCTGGTGCATTGGATGTCGATTGTGAATTTGGGACATGTTTTGGCTCCATTTGACCTTGGAAATCCCCGTTGGTTGGACGGGTGACCCTGGCACCCTAGACTTTATAAGAAATCCCCAGTAAAATCAACACCTGGGGAGTTACAAAATGGGTGGTCCTAGGTTCATCAAGATACGCTGATTCTTTATATAATCCTGTGGCTGAAGCATGCTTGTGGCAGCGTGAAAGGCAATGAATTGCCCGGGGGTTCCCCGGGAATGGCAGAACTCTATACTTATAAATTCCTAAAACTGTGGTGTCGACGGTCGCCAACATTGTGCCAAAATGGCTTCACGTAGGACAGCTCCAAGGTCAGCTATATATGATTAATATATGTGGCTATGAAATCCTGTAAGTGAAAGAGCTGTGAGAAAGACTTCAGTCTTTATAAATTGCTGTAGTTTCACTCTTTATGAAATCCTGCTTTGAAGGCTGATTTTCCATGCAATCTTTATGAAATCCTGTGGATTGAGATAATTGTGGGAGCCAACCGGGCAGATCAAAATTTATATAAAACGACCTCCTGCCTCAGGAAAAAATAGTGCCCTAACAGACGGGGATCTTGGAACCAACTTCTTGGAGCCAAAGCCACCCTAATCGCCTGCAGGACGTTTAGTTTACTACACTACCCCCGAGATGAAGAGTTGAATTTCGGGATTGGTGTAGAATTGGTCCATCAACAGCATGAGCCCACTGGCATGCACATGGATCACGATGAGGAAGCCCACAGGCTCATGAAGATGTGTGTGTGTGTGGCCTCGGCTAGGTGTCTATCTTTGCATTCTCCAAGGGTGCTTGCCCACACTTCAAAGCACTGGTCATCTCCCTACACAGGGCAAGTCCATGAATGTCTATGTCTATGTCTCTCGGTTACCCCAGCCCTCTTCGACTAGAGTCACCCCATCATTTGGCCCATCAAGCCTTGTGAACCTTCCAACGCCCACCGGCGCCTCTTGAGCACTTCTCGTTCAGCCACGGGGATTCGTTGCAACCACTCCTGGAGAGCATGTTTTTCGCAACCACTCCCGAGCCGGACATCCGGAAACAGCTCAATCACTTTCAACCTGTTGACATCTCCCATACCCCCTGTTGTAGGAGGCACATCGCAGACACTCAGGTCCAACGACGTAAAAGAAACAACGTGAAACAAAGACTTTCAACCTGTTGGATTTGAAACCGGGGAAAGCTATCCCCCAAGCAAATGGTTTACGGTTTTGGGAAGGTTATCCACTCACTACTGAAATCCTGGCAGCAATCTCAAAATCACACCTACACTTGCACCTGCTTATTCCAGCGCGAGAACCGAAAAAAGTAACGCCAGTGTGCAAAGCTTCAGCTGGATCCATGCGAGGCTGGGGCCGATCGTGTTTTCATTGCCGACCTGGAGACCCAAATGTCGGAGACATCATCATACATCTCTGTACCCCGTCCTCACAAACAATGAAAAAACACACTCTTAACTCACTTTTAACATCTCTTAACAAACATTTGGGTTCCGAATAGAAAGGACAGCCACATGTCTCACCCTGTCTCATGCATTCGATAATGCCCACCAGCAGCATCAAATCAAGGGCCTGCACTCGTTTGCTGGAGCATTGGCAGTCATTCATTGGGTATATCCCATTCCCTGAAACAGTGTATGATGATGCTTACTAAGGTTCTTTCTCAAAAATGGGGATAGTCTTTTGTCAGCTGCTACAGGTCATGGGACACATCCAAGTCATTGGCAGATTGGGCCGGACCCCTTTGAGCCACTCGTCCCCTGCCGGACCTTCCACTCGGATGTTCATCGGCAGCTGACACATAGCCATTCAATACACTCCCTGAAACCATCGTGAAACCACCTGATTGGTATGCGGAAAATGGCAATGCACGGGGCCATGCCATTCACTTCCATGATTATTTCAGGGAGTGTGTGTTAGTGTGCATCATGTCCCCCAAACACAAGTCAAGAGATTGAGGCAGGTAGATTAGGAATGATTAGGCCGTGTCCCAAACATCAGTTGGACCATCAGGCTGCCTCAAGGAGTTTCATCTGAAAGCAGCTATTGTTGCTATAGGCTATAGCTGTTCCAAGCTGTTCAAGTGGAGGAGACGTGCCCATGGCCCATGCGTGTGGAAGACGTGGCCTGCTGCTCGTGGACATCCCGAAGGTCCGAACATTCTACGAGAGGGCGACCGAGCTGCTTTGAGCTCTACAGTATGGCTCTATGAAAGGCCTGAAGTCCTAAGAACTAAATGGGCACGTTGCCTTGGAACAGCCTCTCACTTGGCGAGTTCTTATTCCAAGTGAAGTGGACATATCTCAACACGATTGAATCATCTTGTTCCTACTAACCACAACCAGCCACACACTTGCACTGTATCACATCTCCGCGTGGCCGGTGCTTTCTCCAGGTTTGCCCGGCGGCCGCGGTGGCAGCACAGGCGTTTGTGTGGCCCAAGTCCGGGTTTGAGCTCTCATCGGCGTGGCCAACGTCCGGGGGGTTGGGCCTGAAGGGCCCGAGCATGGCCGGGTGGGCCGGGTGGGTGGTTTGATGTGTCCACCGGACGCGACGAACGGAGCCACCGGGCTCCTGGCCGGCGGAACCAGGGCATCGCTACCGTTCGCTACGTAGGCTACCGAAGCGACGAACGTAGCTCCACGACTCATTGGGATTCGATTGGAAGCCTAGCCAAGCCGCGGGTCTTGCCACGGATTGGGTCTGAGGAACCTCACATGGGTCTTCAACCATGTGAGATCAAAGACGAATCATTGGGACGCCAACTGGCCAATTACTGGTCGAACACTACTGTCAACATATTTCAAAGAGGTCCACCAAATCCAGTGGTAGTAGAACAATATTTGTATATAGGAACAATGTCTCCACACTCCGACGGACACGGAACATGCAAAATGATGGCCCACAGGCCCACACTGTAGAGGGCAATCGTCATCCAAGGAATGGAAAAGGAGATATGGAGTGGATCCTGCACTCTTTACCATGCCATATTGCCCACCCACTGTGTCTGGTCACACACTCTACATCCCAACGTTCTCTCTCTCTCTCTCTCTCCCCCCTCCTCCTCATCATTTTCTTCTTCTTCGTCCCTCTAAGATCTCTATCTCTTGCACTCTTGCAGCTCTTGCATTGACATGGATTTCTTTCATCTTGCTCCACAGCCTCCTCCGCACTCCTCGCCTCCTCCGCCCTCGGCCGTGCAACTGCTGCAAGTGCTGCAGCCGCGGCTCACGCCGCTCGCGCCGCACGTGCTGCGGAGTTGGTCCGTGTGCCAGTCCCCGGAGGCCTCGGGCAAGCCGACCACAAGAGCTGCCTGGATCGGGCGCGCACGGAGAAAGCATGAAAATCCACAAGACGGGGTGCCGAACTTGGAGGATAGGGGTGCCCAGCTGCTCCACTCACTTGGGGACTAAAAACAACCTTTAATGTGACTCCTGGGATTGTGATCTTTTTCGGTGACGAGCTGCGGAAATACCACTGTTTGCTGCGGAAATGTGTTCGTTGCCGCGAATTGTCCATTTCAGGAATCTACTGAGGCAGGAGAAAACATGAAAAGACCCGCCCGAGTGAAGCCCGGGTGTTCGAAAAGCTAGCAAAGACTGGGGGACTGAGGAGCAGCCTGAACTTGTCTGGACTCACCCCAATTCTTACAAAATGAATCAACACGACACTGACTCATTGAACATGTCCCCAAATACAGGAAAGACTGATAATAGAGACAGCAAATAAGAGACACCCCTTGGTTCGGCCATGGCCCACCCGCCTGCTTCAACCTCCTGCGCATGTTCTCGGCCTCTTCCCACACCTTCTCGCCGAAGTTCTCGCAGCCCAAGCCTCTGACCCGCACCGCGCGGTGGCGGGCCGCGAGCCACAATCAACGCCGCGCCAAAGCGTGGGGAGAGTCGCCCAGGCGTCCCCAGCTCTGCAAGCGTTTCCGGAGCTGCTCCTAAAGGGAGCACAAACGGATGTGTATCTCCAGGGATGGTGAAGATGATTGAAGATGTGTGAGTTGAGTGTGAGCGAACTCCTCAGATTTCCAAAACCTGACCATCTCTACGGTGCATTCGCGTTGACAAGGTCTGTCATTTGTTTTGGGGTACCACCAAAACACCTGCCTCCGAAGCGATCACATAATTGCCTCACTTGTTCACCGGAGTGGCATTTTCAGGTACCTTGCTCCTTTGGCTGCTGATAGTTGTCCATGGACGCACAAAACCGTTTGTACAGGTAATTGCCAAACAAATCCGGCCACAACAATCCGCATATTTTATGACTTGTCCTACAATCGTGTACTTGGACTTTTTATGCTACCGTCCAATTACAGTACATGGTTGTCCCCCTGACTAGGCGGGGCTCGAAAAGAAGCTTAGCTTGCTTGCGCCCAGCACCTATATCATCCAAAGTCGCGTTTGGATCAGGTGACATCCGTTGCCTTGCATAGCTTCTTGGGAGTTGATCAACACGAGTTAACCCATCAAACCAGAAAACACATAACATAATTTTGTGTTCTTTCTTTCCGCAGTAAACCCTCCATACGGAACTATGTCTGGGATATTTTAATATAAATACACGTGAATGACTGACTGGAGTGATTGAGCTCTGGATAGCCCAGACTGCCTCGATGAGCTCCGTGACCGTCTCGCGGATCTTGCCCGATGACTTCGCCGACGCTTGGGCCAGGAGCGTCTGCAGGTGCCGCACGGCTGCGCCGCGCGTGGAGGCATCACCGCTCGAACTGCACACCGCCTGGAGGAACTGCTTGTGGCTAAAGAGAAGAACCCCATCGTTTCCCAAAGCTCCCCTTGCATCGCTCAATTCTTTCACATCAAAATTGACTATACCTCCTAGTTCGGGTTATATAACCATATATATAACCCCAGTACTTGGAAGACTCTGCGTGTCCAGTCTAGTTAGTGAATCCCCTTGTTGACCATATACTGGCACCTTGACCAAATCAGCACCGAAAGCACCATGTTTCTGTGGGGCTCTCGGGGGTTCGGTGTGGGGTTTTGGGGGGCTCAGCTCATCTGCAAGTCTGCACGCATCAGTTGTTCTACACTGCAACTTCTGCATCTGAAAACCATCTTCGCCCCCCAAATCCATCCACAATCATGCATAAATCCATCTTCATCCCGCATTCGGCGCCCTGAAAAGCCGTTCCAGGTATGTTCGGCAGCTGTCCTTGTAGACCTCCAACTGGGACCCTCCTTGGAGCTCTTTCTTCCAAGCCTCCAAATTCATCCTGAGCGCATCCAGGCGGAACCCAAACTCTGACTCTCTGCTGCCAGGCGGATTTTTGGAGTCTCGGTCCCGAGTGCTCGGTCGACGGGACCGAAGTGCGAGCACCGGAGTCCTACCGTCGTTGAGATCAGTATGTGGGCCAGCATGGGTTAGGCAAGATTGATGTGTAACTCATGGTGACTCCCACAGCCTCCAAAAATACACCAAGGATCGAAAAGGCCTGAACTGCAACTGCTTTGATCTTCTTGGTCAAGACTGGCACCAGCACCGGCTGCTGGGTGCACCTGCACGCAGGTTCGTGCCCGAACACATGGTGGAATCCGAGCACGGCGCTGGGAGATCTTGCAAACGGCGAATCCTCTCCTTGCAGCGGTTTCAATCAATCAACGTGTATAGTTAACCGTGTGACCGTGTATAATCATTGTGCGCTTTTTTTGCCAAAAAGACGCCTCCGGCACGGTTCCGATTCCTTGATTCCTCTTCAGCTTGTTTTTCCGAGGAGAATTCACCGCTGGGAGATCCTCGGGGTCCAATCTACAATGCAAATGGATGTGGATAGCAACCACATGCGCTATGCCATCCCGAAATATCCGAAATGGCCAGGATTGTTTAAGGGCGTGACGGTAATTTAGAGTTGTTTGGCGCTATCTCTTTTGTCCAACTTTATTAACTTCATATATAGGCTCTTGACTGATTAACCAAAAATGGGTGGTGATTATATATATAATCAAAGGAAACGTCTACAGTATTCCCA